CTTATTATTGGCATTATGAATAATAATAGGCTAAATCTAAGATATATGGTGAGGAAAGAAACACAATAATTGTTAATTGGTTAAGAATAAGTGTTGTTTCAGTTAACAGCTGGGGGAACTTTAATGTAATTGCTTACTTATTTTATTTTCAGGAGGCAGATATTCCACCTACCTCTCAGAGTCATTCCAACCCTTAAACAGAAAGTATGAAGGACTAGGATTCCCAATGGAAAGGGTTTGGGCATGTCCAGGAGTAACCAAGGAGGAACTCTAAAGCCTACAAGTGGTGTGCAGCTAGGGTTCACAAGAGCACATGGGCTGATTTCATGGGAATAATATTTGGCACCTTTTGTTCATATTGTCCCTGATGTCACTCGTGATGAGTCAGTACCCTGAAGACCCCAGAGAACCTCAGGGTGAATTTTAGGAAGCACCATTACTACTATGATAATGCAGAGTTGGCTAATTGGCTCACTTTGGGGTTTTGAGGGGGCTTATGATTCTAAGAAAGAGTCTTTGGGAAACTCAGTATGGGATTACCCTTGAATCTCTTCCAAGATTCAAATTCCATGGACAATATCCAGTCCTCCCACAGTTCTGAGGGCTGGCTGCACCCTTATTTACTCTGTGGCCAGTGTGTTGGGGGAGGCTGATAATAGCAAGGCTTCTGCAGACATTTCAAATCCAATGATTCTGCAGAGAGTGGACCAAACGAAGGGCCCCTCCAGAAGGCCAAGGCACCCAGGAGAAGAGCACAGCAGTCAACCTGCATCTCCTCCTGCATTCCTAATCTTATCACTTGCCACAGCCAGAACCCTGAGAGGCCCACTTAACTTGTTTCTTCCCCTCGCCCAAATGCAAGCAGTCCCAAAAGGCTTGTTGATTCTGTCTTCTAATCAGCTCTGATATTCATCCCCTTCTCCTGATCTTCACTGCCATCACTCTATCTCAAGCCACCACTCCCACTAGCCTAGATGAGGGCAACAGCCTCTAATCAAATCTCCCATCCCACACTCTCCCATTTCCCACAGTCCATTCTCTATACTGCAGCCAAACCACTAATCAGACCTGTCCCTTGTTGAAAGCCATTCAGTAATGTCCAATTTAGTGGCTTTGGCATAATGTTCAATGAACTTTATATATCATAAAATTATTTAATCAGGCAAGCTTTTGTTTCCTATTTAAGAATCAGGAAAATGTCATAAATTACATTGATTTCAGTTGAAGAAGGAAGAATTTTAAATCATTCATCCTGAACATAAACTTGGCTCTCATACTCAGTTGAATATGTTGCTCATTTTTAAAAATCCAGGTAAATTAGCAATTGAACTTTTACTGCAGCATTGTTTGTAGAGGAAGAAATGATTTGGACATACACTGTACCCAGCCAAAAAATGGATACCTGAAGAGATTATTGTAAACCACTGCACGGAACACATCATTCAGCCTTTACAAAGAAAACATTAGAGTTATGGTTTGAGGAAATTTTATTGTTAATTAGGAAAAAGAACTAAGTGGAAATTGTGTATAGAATGATCCAATTTTTATAAATGAAGCAAAGCACATCTATGAAGATATATCCAGTAACTCTACCCATAGATGTTGATCCTAGATATCCATGCACATGTTTTCAGGGGACAGGTAGAAAAATACTAATAGGAAGAGTATTTGTTCTGTAAAAATGGAAACAGCAAAAGTCCAGACCATCAGGAGAAAGGTACATTGCAAATACTAAAATAAATCATAACAAAATTTAAATGAGCTAGAGCTACATTTACCAACTTGGTTAAACATCAGGTGAAAAAGATGAAAGGGATTAAGAACTACAAATCACCAGTTATAAAACTAGTCACAGGGATGTACAGTACAGTATAGGGAATAAAGTCAATAATATTGTAATAAGTATATATGATGTCACACTTACCAGATGAACACTTCATGAGGTATATAAATGTTTAATCACCATGTTGTACATGAAACCAATATAATATTGTATACCATCTGTAATTGGAAAATAAACTAATTTATAACATGAGTATAAAAATAAATCCACTAAAAAAAATCTTGTATGTTGTGTATGGACACAGAAATGGCACCTCATCCTGAGTCAGCTGGTTGGTGGGCAAAAGGCAATGCACAAAAGAGCATGCACTGTTCCCGATTGGATTATGGCTAGGCTTCCCAAACAGGAGGTCATGGTAGGCTCTGGATATACAGAACATTTCAATTAGAAAGTTGTTGGGGAGAAAATTAGTTTGCTACATTACATTCCCATAAAATCCCATCAGAATGGAGAAGCTATTTGAAAGAATATTGGTTAATTTTGCAGTCCTCTCAGCACACAGATTCACAAACAGCAAATATAAAACAAACAGCAAACAAACAAACAAAAAAATCCCAGCTGAACTCAAAGGAACCTGCTCTAACCCAGGGTCCTTGGTATGTGCTCTTGAATTCCGAGAGTGCCTCACAAAAAGCCTGGCAGGCAAGACTGGAGAAATTAGCCTTTTCTTTTCTTTTTTTCCAGAGGACAAATCACAGAGCACAGATACTAGGAAAACCATCAAGGTCAAGGAGCTTGTAAATGACACAGGCTGGACCAGCACTCATGTTCCCAGGTCTGAGTTCAGTGCTCATCCTTCTATACCAGGCATTCCCCTTCTACACATGTACAGAGAGCGCTTCGCCTCTTTGGGAGCAATTCAGCTGGCAATTCAGCTGGCAATTCAGCTTTCCGAACAGGTCACAGTGCCCTACCCCAGAACTTGTTCACCAGGCATGGAACTTATTCCACAAACTCTACCAAGGGCTGGGAGACATCAAGGGGCTACACAGAGCTCCTTCCCTCACTAGGATTAGTCTGAAGTCCTGACAAGCAATCATTTAATCTTTTTCAGCCAAACTAGTAAAAAGCATTCACTTGCTTTTTAACAGTTCAGGTAAAAACATGTGCAAAGTCGTTTCCATCATGTATTCCTTCAATGTGCATTTATTAAACGCCACTCTCACACATTGCCTAAACACCTTGAGTGGCAAAGGCTGTGCTTCCTGTGTGATAAGCGCTTTTCACTTATTATCTCATTTAATTCTCACAATCCTATGAGACCAGTACTTTAATTAATCCCTCTTAATTTTTAAAATATGTTTTTATTGACTTTAGAGAGAGAGGAGGGGAGAGGGAGAGAAACATACATCCCCTGCCACCTACAGGGCCCCCCACTGGAGATGGAGCCTGAAACCCCGGTAAGTACCCTGACCAGGAATCAAACCAATGACCTCTTGGTGCATGGGACAATGCTCAACCAACTGAGCCACACCGGCCGGGGCAATTAACCCCACTTTAAAGATGAGGAAAGGGAGGCTCACAAGTAAACAAAATAGAAAGAGTCATAGATTCAGAAAACAGACTGACAGCTCTCAGAAGGAAGGGGAGTTGGGGGCTGGGTGAAAAAGGTAAAGGGATTAAGGAAAAAAAATAAAAGGAAAGAGAGAAACTCATATAGACACAGACAACAGTCTGGTGATTACCAGAGGGGAAGGGGGCAGGTGGTGGAGGTAGAAGAGGGTAAAGGTGGGATAATAGTGATGGAAGGAGACTTTGACTTGGGGCGGTGAACACACAATGCAACATACAGACGATGTAGTATTATAGAATTGTACACCTGAAACCGATATAAACTTATTAATCAATGTCACACAAATAAATTCAATAAAAAAATTTTAAAAAGAAAGATAGGCAGTGCTTGCCCTAAACACTCCTTTCTCAGAGGGGGCAAATACTGACTTGTTGCCCTTTGGGGCAGACCAAGGCAAGCTTGGGGACAGAAAGGTCTGTGAGCAGGCAGATGGAATTTAGATACTTGGAGATGAGAGGAAAGGCAATTTGGGCAGAGTAAACAGTGAGCAAAGACCTGGAGTGGATAAAGTTCAGAATATGCTCCCAATTACATTCAGATTACCGAACGAGAGAAAGAAGCAAAAGAAGTCAAGCATTCAGGTAGACTGAAGCCTAGAAACCTCAGAGCCAACCTACACTCCGCTACCCTCTCCCCATTTCCCACTTTCACCCAATCACTAAAGCCTGTCAGTCATCACCCTTAAAATGCCTTTCTGCCTCTCCATCCCCATGGCAACCACCTTAAGGCTCATTTTCATTCCCTCCTGCTTCTTATTCTAATTGCTTCCTAAGTGACCTGCCAGACAATAGTCTGCTCCTCTGTAAGGCTGTACAGACGCAAGTCCGATCCAGTTAGTGCCCCGCTTAATAATCCCGTGAATATATAACATTTTAAAGGCTCTGCGCCTCTTGCACAGTTTGCTTTTTCAGTTCTGTCTCCTCTTATCTGGATCTTAGATGGGCCCACGAATGAATTAGTCTACACATGAATTCTTCTGAAAACAGGGCGAGCGAATGAATGCGCCGCGTAAGTCAAGACGGGAAAGGAGAGCTGATTCCTTCCATGAATACACTCTCCAGCCTCTGCATCCCACCTCCCCCTAACACCCAGTCTGCCTCAAGTGGGATTGGAGCAGAGACACACTCCTTCCCAAGACAAGTGAACTGATCATTATAGAATGCAGGGACCTGTCACCCATCCATTTCCCCTTAGCCCACTACCCCCTCCCCATCTCTTCCNGGTGGGAATAGCTGATTCCTTCCAAGAATACCTGCCCCCTCCACCACCACCACACAAACACACCCAGCCTGCCTTCCCTGGAAAGGAAGACACACATTCCTTCCCGAGAACCGCGAGCCAATCTTGTACTACACTGATAAATACAGGGTCCTTGTGCACTTCTCCTCTGCACACCTCTGACCTCGCCGATCCCTAGCCGTTATTTGGGCCCTAGTCCCACCCCTGCAGTGGCCAGCCCCCTTTCCTAGCTGACAGCGGAAGTCTGGGTGGAGGAACCACCCACTTCCTTTTGAGAGTTGAGGGGAGTGCGTGGCAAGAGAGGCGGAGCCAATCCTGCCGAGCGTTATCGCGCGTTGGCCGCTGGGGCGAGTGCAGGTGGCGGTTGTTCACGCAAGTCGGCTTGCGTGGGAGTGAGCACTGTAGCTGAGAATCTCTGGCTTCTTGCTACAAAGACTCTATTGCCCTTGGTGGCTTCAGCGGTGGCCGGTTCTTAAGGTAGAGATAGTTGCTTTTTGCAGAATTTATAGGCATCCTTCCCTAGGATTGCTGTAGGCTCAGCGCCCCTAGCAAGAGACATGCCGAGGGGACGAAAGAGTAGGCGCCGCCGTAACGCAAGGGCCGCAGAAGAGAACCGCAACAACCGTAAGATACAGGCCTCAGAAGCCTCAGAAACCCCGATGGCCGCTTCTGTGGTCCCGAGCACCCCCGAGGACGACCTTAGCGGCCCGGAGGAAGACCCAAGCACTCCAGAGGAGGCCTCCACCACCCCTCAGGAAGCCTCCAGTACTGCTCAAGCTCAAAAGCCCTCAGTAGCCCGGAGCAATTTCCAAGGCACCAAGAAAAGTCTCCTGATGTCCATATTAGCCCTCATCTTCATCATGGGCAACAGCGCCAAGGAGGCTCTGGTCTGGAAAGTGCTGGGGAAGTTGGGGATGCAACCTGGCCGGCAGCACAGCATCTTTGGCGATCCAAAGAAGGTTGTCACAGAAGAGTTTGTGCGCAGAGGGTACCTGATTTATAAGCCAGTGCCCCGTAGCAGTCCTGTTGAGTACGAGTTCTTCTGGGGACCTCGAGCACACGTGGAATCGAGCAAGCTGAAAGTCATGCATTTTGTTGCAAGGGTGCGTAACCGATGCTCCAAGGACTGGCCATGTAATTATGATTGGGATTCGGATGATGATGCAGAAGTTGAGGCTATCCTCAATTCAGGTGCTGGAGGTTACTCCGCCCCTTAGGGAAATCTGGCACAGACCCTTAGGTGGGGGGTGTAAAGAGCTTCACAGGTACCCCAAGGAGTGTATCACCCGGGTTCTCAGTTGAATATTATGGGGAAGAGGGCACACTGTGTTTGGTATTTGTGATAAGTGCTAATAGTTTGAAGTGCAAAAGGAGCATTTGCTTTGGATATTGTAAAATTTTATTCATTTTAATACAATGTTGATTAAGGTCACAATATGTTTAAAATATGATTGAAGAAAAAATTTTTCTTTTTTTTTTTGTCATTGAGACTTAGTATAACAGTTTTGCTAACGTTATACAATGAAATCTTTCCATCATATTCCATAATCTGGTACCTATTTTATAGCATTGAATAGGCTGTTCTTTGAAACTTTGAAATAACCAGTAAAATGTGAAAGGACTGAGGGATTCGTTTATGTCTGGCCTTTCTGTAAATCTTTGTGTCTGCTGTTGTGTAAAGAAGACTTAAAACTACCGTGATTTTGCTTAGTTATTGCATAATATAGGGAAAAAATAAATGCATAATGACAAAGACACCTTGCTCATTTATTGACCACCAATTATGTGTGAATCACCAATATACATTCTGAAAATACTTCTTAGCACACAGCCTTCATTTCTAAAGAATGTTATAGATTACATGGGAAAGACAAATATGTAAACTGGCAGTGTGGTAAGTGCTGTAATAGGGATGAACTTGGGGTCCCATAAAAATGCAGAAAAGCTAAAGTGACCTGTGTTGGGTTGGAACAGGAAAGAGGACATCATAGGGAGCTATGAAAATTCAACAGTTAGCTTGGGGGGACTTGAAAGGGGCATCAGAGCATACTATGGAAATAGTGTGCATCGGGTACTTTTTGGATACTTAACTCAGCTTGGAGGAGGCAGCATTGGCAAAGGGAAGGGAGCATCAGAGTGCAGTAGATATAGAAAATACACTTAAATCAGCTTGACAGGAGGGAAGAGGAGACAGGGGTGTTTGTAGGGAAAAAGGACATTGTAAGGCACTATAGATTAAAAAGATGTGACTGTCAGAAAATTCTTAGTGATATGACAACCTCAAGTCTGAAAGTAATATTGGAGTTGGGGAAAAGATTAATATGGAGGCACAAAACAGACTAAACATTAAGGTAAACACGCTCTTCACTGAACAGTCAAGGGTATGTCAAGGGGAAGTGGAGAAAAAGAAATGAGTTGGGAAAGGTGAGAAGGGTCTAGAACATCAAAGGGTGGGAGTTATGGCTGGTTATAATGAGAACACAAATGATTAATAATGATAATCCTGGAATAATGGTGGGGGAACACCCCAGAAAAGCATAGACTCTTGGATGAGGCAGAGAGAGTTTTACCTGGGGCATTGTTGAAAGGAAACTGAGCTTTCAGAAACTACAGTTTGTTAGGGTGTACGAATTGTTTTAAAAGTGCAGTGTGCTTGTGTCCAAGGGGTGGGGCAGAATTAGCACTCAGACTGTCTCCCTCAGC